GGTTCGGAGCCGAAAGAGCCGGCTCTTTTTAGTGAGCCGAACCGAAAGAGCCGGATCTCTAAAAAGAGCCGGAAATCCCATCACTACTTGGCTCAGTGTGGCAAAAAACAAGTCATTTGCATGCATCTTTAAGCTTTGGGAAGCCGTTTGGCTCAACCAATATGCAAGCTGAACGATCTGCATTCATCTGTGGGTTTAACAAATTTTGGAAATATTTTGGAAATTTATTAAAAGTAATGAACTGAACCAAGTGAAGGCTTACATCAGAGTCAGTGGAGTCCCATCTACCCATTTCCATGTTCCCTCCTGTTCTTTGTCATTTAAACCAATCCAAACGTCTGTGGTGATCGTAGAGAGGAAGTTCTGTTTAATATGAAGAAAAATCATTTTATTTTACTTTAAAACCACAATTTTAGTCTATGCAGCGTTAGAGAATTGTGGATCAATATGGTTGTCATTGTGCAAGATAATTAGATAATTAGCAAGAATGCTCACCTCTGTTTTACACACACACACACACACATGTTCACACAAAAGTTTCTTTTGTGGTGATCATAGAGAGGAAGGTTTGTTTAATATGAAGAGAAAACATTTCAGTTTTAAAACCACAAGTTTTTATTTGCATATTTTACATATAAACTATGAAATTATTTTTATGTCATAGTTCGCATGCGAGAAAAAACATAATGCGAGCAAATGATGTCATTTAACAGGCGCAGTTAAATTCATCGCTTCTAAATTTAAAAAAACCCATGTGCTTAGAATGTGCATAAAGAAGCCATCGCACACCAAGATTGTCTGCTTTGCATACACTGCTATTTGTTTGTAATTTGAAAAATTGTTTGCCAAATAGTTATCAACAGTTATTCATTTCCTTTGTAGCAGTGGAAATACAGATAACTATCACTGGATTACTTTACTGCTGAACAAATCTTTTAAACTGTCCCCTTAATCTGGTGTACAACATAGCTCTTGTGATTTAGAAAAATCACTGTAATAAGAAGAATGGATCATTCCTAAAAGGAAAAAAAAAGAACAACATTAAAAAAAGAAAAAAGTGCATAAACTTATTATTATAAAATGTAAATGAATGTAAACTGTGCCTATGATGCTGCCTTTGAGTGCACTTTGATCAGTCAAACACAGCTGTACACATCTGGCTGCAGAGCTTCACTGACTGTGGGTTCAGGCGCCACTGTAATTCATCTAAATAATATTAAAGATTCTCTGAACAGTCAATCTGTGGACAGGAGAGGAGGATGTTACAGGCTGTCATTAGTAAGTAGCTCATTTGTCTGATCTGAACTAGTGTCTAATAAAACTGTTATCACTGTTGCTATAATTTTGTGTAAATCTAAAGGGTCTTATAGCTACATTATGCACCATCCTTGAAGCTGCTGCACGCTAGGTGTTTTAAGTTTTTATTAGTGGTGTCAATAGATTAAAAAAGATTAACTAACTAATCTCACAATTTTCTGTTATTAATCAATATTAATTGTGATTAATCGCAATTTCTTGATCAATAGCCTGGCTCCAATTACATTTTTTCAGCTTTATATTTTAAGGTTGTAACAGACATTTATGCAATACAATGAAGTAAATGCAGAATAAACACAAAGAATATATGCTGAAATTCAAAGTGAATTTTAATAGTTTTCATCAATCTTTAACACAGTGAAAACTTAAAAAACCTTCAAGGTCATCAACAGTTACTGAACCCCGGCCTAAAGGTTAAAGTGAATACCATAACAGAATACCATAACCATAAAGGGTGCACAAAACTCAGTATTTAAAACAGAAAAAGACACAGCTGAAAACCCAGAATGTTGAACATTTTCACTTAAAAAGGAGCAATTTGGCTTAGTCCTTCTTTGCACTAAGCCAGTTACTGAGACAGACTATTCTGTTTACATTATCTGATGACAAAGAAGCACGCTTCTTTTGAATGATGTGACCTGAGAGTGAGAATAAGCTCTCACAAGGCACTGTGGTTGCAGGGGTTGACAGGTACTTGACTGTGTGCAATAGGTGCCAGCCTGGAATGTGCTCCTTCTCTCTTTAACACCACTGTAGTGGACACTCTCCTACGTCAATTTTGGGCTCTGCTTTGTAAAGATTAAGACAGTGGTCATTAGTGTCTTCCTCTGTATCTGAATCAGAAGAACCCAGCACACATGCTGGCAAGGTTCAAGTAGTTCTTCCAGCTTTTGCAGTCTGTGAAGCTCCTGGTCAGTCAACATGGTCACCTTGCTGTTTTGCTGAGCCAGGACGGTGGTCAGCACAGATTTGTTTCTCTGGATCCGCTTGATCATCTCTAGGGTGAAGTTCCATCTTGTTGGAATGTCCTGAACAAGCGGTTCTGTTTGATGTCCATGTGCAGCTTGCTGTGCCTTTGATTCCTGAGCGTTTGCTGGACTATGCTTAAAATGTCCAACAATCTTGTGAAATTTGGCCAGAGCCCTTTCAAATGTGCTGTCATTAAGAGAAACTGTGACCATTCTTTTGCAGAATGTGGGCCATGCAGGGCTGTGTTCAAATGGAAGTAGTCTGGCGGCTGCAACCATGTTACGAGCACTGTTGGTGCCAAGCGTGGTTAGTCCTGATTGTCCCTGATTTTCCATTCGTTTGCAACACTCAGAAAATGGTCAGCACACACCTCAGCATAATGCCTCTCTTCAGTTTTACTCACTGCTAGTGCAAACGATTGTAAAGTCCAATCGTAATCAATAAAATGTGCCGTGACCCCCAAGTAATTATTGTTGTTCACCGAAGTTCAGTGGTCTCCAGTGAGAGCGACATTCCTTACTTGCACAAGCTTACTGGACTGCTGAGCCCTCTGGTCCTCATACAAAGCATGCAGTCTCGACACAGTGGTTCCTCTCAAGGGCGGATTGTAACATACATCTCCTGCTGTAGCGCGAATGACTTCTCTCAGTCCGTCATCTTCTACTATGCTAACTGCTCGTGAGTTTTTAGCTATCCAAATTTCCAAGGAATTGGTTAATTTTTCTCTAACATTTTTTGGTTTTCGTCCACGAGCACCATACTCCTGAAGTGTAGATTGGCGAGGTCCCGTAGAGGCGGATTCAGTTGGGTGTTTTGCTCTCAGGTGATACGCCAGTGATGAACTGCTTCTGTGGTACTTGAATTTAGCTTTGCAAACTGTGCACTTTACTCTCATTTTGTCCAACAAGCCATCAGGAAACTTCTTAAAGAGAAACTTTCCACCCAAAAGTCCGTCTTCGTCCATGCTCGCATGTGTTAGCTATAGTAGCATGGTATCACTTCTTTTTCTTCTAATCATTTCTGTCAGGCCAAATGCCAGCATAGCACAATGCTGCCCCCTCCTCCAGAGCTGCTCATGAGTTTAAAGATCTTAGATTACAGGAAATAAAAAACAAAAAACAAAACTGTGCTATAGGGATGGGTATCAAAACCCGGTTCTTGTTGAGAACCGGTTCCCACTGTTTCAATTCCTTGGAATTGTTTGCCATTTTTGCAAACGATTCCCTTATCGATTCCAGTCGCCCCGAATGACGTCACCACGTTGCGGGGCGTCATTTACCTGGCAGGAAACATGGCAGCTCAAACGCTCAAAAGTTTGGTTATATTTTACGAGAATGGATGACAACAGGGCAACTTGCAATACTTGAAAAGTAGATATTTCATTTAGAGAGGAAACACTACGAATATGCAAAAGCATTTGCTCACAAAACACGCGATGACCTTAAATGAATGTCGTGTTTTTAATTCCGCTCCGGACTCGTGAATCTCAACCTAGCAGCAGCGGTAACGTTTGCACGTCCTCTCCCGTTAATGCGGTAGGTAAATAATCAACTAACAGTGCATATTATGTTAGCGCGATCTGTCTTATTACAAAACCTGCCATTACTGTGCATTTAGGTGACCATGATGAGAGAGACAGACACAGTCTGGCTGGCTCAGACGCTGGCAGTTCTTGCTGCAGTCTATCGGTATCGTCTCCTTTCAGGCCAGGATAGACAAATGTCACCGAGCAGTGACTAAGTTTGAGGTAAAAGGCTTGCACCCATTTTGCCACAGCAGATACCCCCGATTTTCGGTAAGTGAATGTGTTTAATTGTAGGCAGGGACATTACTGGATATTCTTGTGTAATTGCTACAGAATAATTTATGTTATACTTTGTTATTGCTACAGAAGAATATTTATTTTATTGTTTTACATTTACAATTTTTTTTCCTGGGGACCCTGTGACACCCCATTGAAGAGCCATAGGCTGTGGATCTCTTAAGATCTCACTGTTGGGTTTGTAAGGCCATGTTACACCTAAATTTCTATCTTGTTCAAAGAGAAGATATAAAACAGTTCTAAGCTAATTGACCTTAGTGTTCTCCTTTTTAAAAAAGAATCGATAAGATAATCGATAAAGAATCGAATCGTTAAACAGAATCGAAAATGGAATCGGAATCGTGAAAATCGTACCAATATCCATACCTACTGCGCTAATTGCGTTAAAATTTTTAACGCATTAAATGTTTCACGTTGATCTCAGCAATTAACGTGTTAATTTTGACAGCACTAGTTTTTATGCTTTGTGGTTTTACTGTATCTGTGCAGCTAACCAGCAGATTTACTTTAGTCATGTCTACTGTAGATTCATCACTGTGGTCTCGGGTCTTGGACCAGCACACATCTATCTGATGTCTGTTGTCACCGCTCAAATATTTGTTGTACAATTTTCTTTAAATTATTTACATTTTAGTTTGATCAATGTTTTTATTCAGTAAAAAATACATTTTTATTACAGTAAAATGTATAAATATTCTGCATTAAAACAGTCTTCAAACTCTATATAATTGTTTAGTCTTTAAATTGTACACCACAACTGAAGCTAATTCACTGTAGCTAAATCATACCACAATTTGTTAGTTGATTCATTCCTCTGTTGCCCCTCTCTGCTGTGGTGTGCCCCAGGGGTCTGTATTGGGCCCCTTATTATTCTCTTTGTATATGCTACCCTTGGGCTCCATATTTGAAAAATACAATATTTCTTATCACTTTTACGCTGATGACATTCAAATCTATTGTCAACTGACTGATGATTTGTCAGCATCACTGAACTCCCTGTACGATTGCCTGAGAGAGGTTAAAGATTGGCTGTCAGAAAATTCTCTCATTTTAAATGAGAAAAAAACTGAAGTTATGGTGTTCGACAGCCATATTCCTCGAGACCAGCTTGTTGCCCTGCTGGGGCCCCTAGCTAACTCTCTCTGTGATTCTATGCGTAACCTGGGTGTCTATTTGGATAGCTCCTTTAAGCTTGATAAGCAAGTATCATCTGTAGTTAAATCTGTTTTTTTTTCTACTGCGCCAGATTTCTAAA